CCAAATTAGAACCCCAGGAGGCACTGGGGAAATGAGATGCTGTCATTTGGGGTGCTGCTGCCAGCAATGCAGCACCCTTATTGCAATGGGGACAGGGAAGGAAAAGTCTGCAGATACAAATCTGCATGTGAGTCAAGGAAACAGCTGAACCGGTGGTTTCTTAGACATTCCAAAGTGAAGAGCATCTTAGATTAGATTCCTTGTGGTCCTTGCTCATTCATGTTATGGCCGTGGTGGGAGATGGTCTAGATGACTTCTTGGGGTCTTTGCCAACCTGAGGACCCTGTGATTCATGACAGTTTTCCAGAAGGCAAGATCATTGATTTAGACCTGGCAAGGATCTCACAAGCCACCTAGTCCTACCTTTTCATTTTTACAGGGAAGGAAACTGAGGCCCAGGAAGGATGTGACTTGCCCATAGACACACAGGTGTAAATAGCAAGGGCAGGATTTCAACCCAAGTCTTCTGACTCCAGAGACAGTGTTCTTCTCCATTGTACACTGCTGCTCCTCAAAGAGGTAAGGTATTGGCAAAAGGTCATTCCTGGGGGGAGGGGGGGCAGGAAACAGTGTAAGACTATTGAGAGGGGGTGGGATAAAGAACTAGGAAAGCACATTCTCCCATAGTTGAGGTCATCATGAGATCATAAAGGAATTAAAGAAACCGTAACCTTGTGTGGGGGGGGTTCCCCTCATGGAGGGGATTTCTCATTCAGAAAGGGGATTCCTGGTGCCCGTTGCTTAGGAATTGGACTGGGCAACCTAAAAGCCCCTTTTAAAGTCTGCAGTTTCTTGAGTTTATAAATTAACTTCTTTGGCTTTAAACAACTGAAATACAGGCTTAACAAACTCAGGACTGAAAATCCAAAGCCCCAAACATTCCCAGGACCCATTATCGGTGTAGTTATCCATTAATTAGCACCTTTCAACTCTTGGAGGCATTTGGAGCAGTAAGGGGCCATTGGAAACAGCAGATGGCTGCAGTCATGTGGGAAATAGGGGGTTTGACTCACCTTCTTTGAGAAATTTGAGGACAAGGCAAAGAGCTGGAAATAATAACTGGCATTGATATAGCCCCCTTAAGGTGTGAGAGTCTTATCTGAGCTCCACCACAACCCTGTGAGGCAGCTAAGAGGCTAGAGCTGGAGTCAGGAAGACCTCAGTTCAAATCTAGTCTCAGATACTTGCTGTTTGACCTGCACAACTTCCTTAACCTCTGTTTGCTTATAGCGAGCTTTTGTATATTGCTTTTTAAGATTTGCAAAGAGATTGAGAAATAGCATCTCATTTAATCCCTTACAAGAAGCCTGGTTGACAGGTGCTGTTATTATCCCCATTTTACAGATAAGGAAACTAAGGTGTAGGAGAGGGTAAGTGACCTAGCCGTGGTGGCTCAGCTAGTAAATGTCAGAGACCTCAGGTGTTCCTAAATTTAGATGGAGCCTTCAGTCCAGCACATCAGCAGGGAGTCCTCACCTTTCCACTACTGCCTCTTATGAAAATTGTTTCTTTAGAGCTCCAGCCTTGGAGTCAGGAGGACCTGAGTTCAAATCTGGCCTCAGACACTTGACACTTAATTAGCTGTGTGACCCTGGGCAAGTGACTTAACCTCAATTGCCTCACCAAAAAGGAAAAAAAAAAAAGATTGTTTCTGCTTTCAGTTTACTATCAGAACAATGGGGAAGACAGATTTCTTCAAGGCTGGTATTAAAAGGTTCATGATTTGTGATAGCCACAGTTCATTCGGTGAGATTTGGTGGAAAGAATAGGAGTTTTAGAGTTGAAAGACTTAGATTCAAATTCCACCACTGCCATCTGAGTTTTGTGACCTTGGTCTCAACGTTTGGCTGGCTCTGTCATTGCTCAGATGTGAAGGTCGGTCACTTTCTCCTGAGATTGATTGGAGCAAGCGGGCTGTTATTCTGAGATTCACTTTTCTGCTTTCCATTATCTCTGAGGTCCTTCTAGTCTCTGATAACTGTAAGCTCCATGAAGGCAAGATGATCTTTTCTACGTTTGCATTTTCCACAACATCTACCGTAGGGCAGTGCGTGTGGAAGACAGTTGAGAAATACTTACCAATCAGCTGGCAGTTCAGGGATAGGAAGCAACCTGAGTTCTAGAATTAGTATCACTGGGAGAGCTTTCTCACTGATCTTCCACAATCACATCATCCCCTACTCATGAAACTTCAGTGGCTCCCTTACCCAAGATAAAATCCTCTGATGCTGAACACCCTTTACAAGCTGGCCTTCTCCCCTTTCCAGTCTCCTTACACGCTCAGTGCTGCAGAGACCTCGGCCTCTTTGCTGTTCCATGAACAAGACATTCCAACTCTACAATCCAGATCTTTTCTGTGGTTAGCCTAACTTGCTCTTGCTCCTAATCTCCTGGTTTCCCCGGTGTCCTTCTAAGTCAAAGCAAAAACCCCACCTTCTACAGAAAGTCTTTCCTGATGCCCCTTAAGTCTAGCACCTTCCCTTGGTGGAGAATATCTAATTTATCCTTTATTTTGTTTTTTGTATGTTTTCACTCCTGTTAAATTGTGACCTCCTTAAGAGTAGGGGCAATCTTTTAAGCCTTTCTTGGTATCCCCTACACTTCTCATTGCTCCTAAAGCATGCTTGTTTGGCTTTTAAAGCCCTTTACAATCAAGTTTCCAACCTACCTTTTCTTTTTTTTTCTTTCTTTCTTTCTTTTTTTTTTGTGAAGCAAATGGGCTTAAGTGACTTGCCCAGAGTCACACAGCTGGTGAGTGTTATGTGTCTGAAGCCGAATTTGAACTCAGGTCCTCCTGACTCCAGGGCCAGTGCTCTATCCACTGCGCCACTTAGGTGCCCTCCCCAACCTATCTCTTCAGCCTTCTATATTGCTCCCCTTCATGTATATACTCTTGGGTCCAGCCAGACTCACCTTCTCTCTGTTCACACACAAAACTCCATCTTTCCCCTCCATGACATTGCACTGGCTGTCTCCCTGGCCTGGAATTTGCTCATTCTTTACCCCTGCCTCGTATAATTCCAAGGTTCCTTCAAAACTCAGCCTGTGTATCCCCTTTTACATGAAGACTTTCTTTATCCTCCCTCCCCCCAAAAAATTATTTTGTATTCATTTCTTATATCCTTACATGTCTACATGTTATTTCTTGATAGAATACACTCCTGAGAGCAAAGACTGTTTCGTTTTTTTGTCGTTGCCTCCCCAGTACCCAGCACAAGCTTGATGCCTAATAAGTACATAAAATTGTTTTTTAATGGATTGATCCAAGTCTCATTTTTCATTGTCATGAATGCCAGGTCAGCATATCTGGAGAATAGTGAAGAGATAAGTCTTAATCTTGGTTAAAGTCAAGTTAACCTTTGGGGATATTGCGAGATGAGACCTGGTACCCAATAAATTTTTGTGTGTCCCGGACCCCTTTGGCAATCTGGGAAAGCCTATGGACCCTTCCCTTCTCAGGTTAACATTTTTAAATTCATAAAATTAAATGTATAGAATTACCAAGGAAACCAATTATGTTGAAGTAAGTTATCAAAATTTTTTTAAAGTTTCCAGATCCCAGGTTAAGAACCTTTGCTCTAATTGTATAATCTCTTGGTCCCAAGAGAAATAAAGGCACAAAAGGCTTCCTGAAGTAGGTGTGAGTTCACAGAAAGCTATTTCCTAGCTATTCTCAGAGAAAAGGTTTGAAACTGCAGATGTCAGATAAAGAGGAAAACCCAAGCAGGGAATGCTGCTATCTGCAGCTAGTTTATAGAAAGAAAAAAAAACCCCAAGAGACACATGGGGACTGCTTCTCTTTGTCTTCCAGCCTCCCAGAGAGATGTCCCTTTCATCCAGGAGGAGGGCTCTCTCAGGACAACGGAAAACAACTTTCCAAATCAACCACGTGGTCAGGGTCAGATTCACTCAGAGGACAATTGGGCTTTTGCCCAGTGGCCTAAAGAATAACTTTGCTTTATTTATACCTGGGAAGAGGGAAGATGGAGGGGGGGGGGAAAGGCAGAGACCTGAATCCCCTAGGCATCTGCCCATTCTGGTGTCCTGTAAATTTGCTGGGATCACTTCAGGGGAGTTGGGCTACCTTGTACCTAGTGCTTAAAAAAAAATTAAATATTATTTCACTTACACAACAATCCTGTGACATAAGTACTATTCTTACCCTCACTTTACAGGTGAGGGGGAAACTGAGGCAGAGGTCAAATGACTTGCATAGGGTTACCTTATTGTTATTGTTCAGTCACAACAGACTCTGCGTGCTCCCATGGATAAAGTCCTGACAAAGACCATGGGGTTTTCTTGGCAAAGATACTGGAGTGATTTGTCACTTCCTTCTCTAATGTGTCCCCATTTTACAGATGAGGAACTGAGACAAATAGGGGTTAAGTGGCTTGCCCAAGGTCACACAGCTAGTTAGTGTCTGAGGCTGGTTCTGAACTCAGATCTTCCTGACTCCAGGCCCAGTGCCCTATCCACTGCACCCCCTAGCTTCCCTGACAGTTACATTAGCTGTGCATAAATGTCTGAGGCTGGATTTGAATTTAGGACTTTCTGACCCCAGGTCCAGAGTTCTAGCTACTGTACCAGCAACTGCCTGTGAGAGGCTGTGTGGAGTAGTGGGCAGAATCCTTGATTAGGAGTCTGGAAGATCTGAGTTCAAATTTCACTTCACCCATTTATTAGCTGTGTGACCCTGGGCAAGTCATTTAAGCCTTAGTCTGCTTATTGCAAAATGAGTCGATGGCTTCTAAGGTCTCTTCCAGCTCAAAATCTACAGCAGAAATGCCTATTGTAGGCAGAGACATATATTAGGTGCAGAAAGTTTCTCAAGGAAAGAGGAGAAAAGGACCCTGCTCTCAGGGGCTGGAGGGATTGACTATGTCAAAGAAGGGGTAGTTGGGGAGACTCCCATGCTAGAATAACAACAATCCCCTAAATTGCTTCATGGAGCACTATTCTTCCGAAGTGTTTGAGGCATGACAAATCCACGAGGGCAAGGGTGGAAATTATTAGTCTTTTTTTTTTAAGGGAAATTGAGGCACAAAGAACCTCAGGCTGGTACAAGAACAACATAGGTTTAACTCGACCTCCAAGTCTGTTCTCTGATTTCTTCATTTGGTACCAGATCCCTTGGAGACACTTCTCTCCTTCCGTTGCAGTGGGGCCCCCAGCCTTGGGCCCGAGCCTCATTCACTCCTCTGTCCAATCCAGCTTTCAGAACTCTGGGCACCTGGCCAACCCCAGCTCCAGATTCCTTGGTCTTTGTGGGTTAGATCGGATTAGTTCCCCCCACCCCACCTCCCACCCCCTGCCTGGGTGTAGTGAGGCTGTAGGCCGGGATTGGGGGGGAGGGGGACGATCCCGAGCCCAGGAAGCCCGGGTGGGGTGGGATGGAGACCCTTTCTGAAATGGAATTGTACGGTCTTTAAGCGCACGCTGGCTTCGCTACCCCGGGCCAGGAGGCAGCTGCACAACAGCTGGTGTACTTCATTGCTGAGCGGGGGCCCCCACCCCCGGCCAAGTTTGCGTTTCAACTTCACTGCTCTCCAACCTCCTTCGGGATGCAGGTACCAACGACGTGGCTCGGTGCACTGCAGACCGCTTGGCCATAGTGGCTTCATTTCACATCTGCTTGACAAAGGCTAATCAATCCTCTTTTCCATTCCCCCACCCCCACCCCTTTCCCCGCAAGCGAAGGGAGACCGGGGGAGATCTGCATTCTGGGAATGGAGGTTCCTCAGCCCCCTTCGCCCTCCTTTACCAGGAGACCCCTCCAACGCTAGATATACTACAAGACCCACAATGCACACCCCCGGCCCGCGCCGCGCCTTGGGGGTTGTAGTCCCCCTTCTCCCAGCTTTCTGTAGACAGTTGGGGCTGAGCGGGGACCCAAACTCCATTTCCCAGCATGCCCAAAATGGAGAGGGAAGGGGAGCGGAGAGGATGGACGGGTTGGGGGACTGGAGAGGGGTATGAATGGGGAGCGGGCAGCCGGCCCCCGCTCCATACCAGGAGCATCCAGCCTTCAGACCGGCGCCTGGGGTGGGGGTGGAGAAAAGAGAGGGGAGGGGAGGGAGAGGAGGAGAAGGCAGCTCGCTTAGCCAGGGAAGGGAGGAGGGAGGAGCAGAAGGGAGGAGGAAGAGGAGGGAGGGGACTCTCACTGGCGGCGGCGGCGGCGGCGAGCGGAGGGGGCCGGCGGAGCTAACGGATCTGGGGCGCAGGCTGCTGCTGCCGCTGCTGCTGCTGCTGGTGTTGCTGTTGCTGTTACTGCTGCTGCTGCTGCTGCGGCCACTGCCACGGCTGGTAGGTAACAACGCCTGCCTGCAACAGCACCCCCAGCATTGGAAGGAGGAGGAGGACGCGGCGGCGGCGGCGGCGGGGACGGCACCCAGGTACCTGGGCGGGGATGCGGGAGGGCGGCGTTGGGGGATGTTGGCTCCCCGAGCCGGGGCTTTGTCCCCGCCCCTGCAACTTTCCCCTGGGGGACCCGCGCAGGGCTCCCTGCTGGGGAGCCACGTGGGGGGAAGGGGTGCGAGGAGGGAGAGGAGGCTCCCCTCCCCCGACCGCTGCCATCGGGGCCGTCAGACTAGCTCTAGCCCCTGCCCAGCCCGTTCCCCAGGGACCAGAGTTGCCAAGGTGACGATCGTTTCCCCCCTTTTCCTTCCCCTCCCCCCAACTCTCCAACACACTCGCAACCTTCCTTCCCCCTTGGGTCGTCTGGCAGCTTGGCCTTGCCAAGCCTTCCAAAGTCCCTAAGCTATGGTTTGGGGTCCAGCCCTGTCTTGACTTGACAGCTAATCTTCCTTGTACTGGGGAGAAGACAGAAAGCAGTACTCCTCTGTCCTCTGGAAACTCAGAAAACTCAGAAGAAATGGGAAATGGTGAACCCAGGAGCCTCCGGACTGTTCATTCCATTGTTAGATCCCGGGTACTCGGTGCTCCTCTGGAAGCAGACAAAACTTGTCAGACCCAGTTGCATTGGGTTTAGTTTTCCCGAGTCCCTCTTTGCTTTCTAGCCACTGGTTTTCCTTACCACGCCATTCCCCCAGTCCTCACCCCTCCTACCCTCTCATAGAACCTACTTCTCACTTCCTCCGGCCTACAAGTAAGTCACTAGCCTCTGCTTCGTGTGGCCAAGCTTCCCTTCTGGTTCCTGTTTCTCACCGTTCTACCCTACCCCCAGCTCCCCTCTTTCTTTTGGCTCTTTCTTTTCTTCAATGCACAGAACTTAAAATGGGGGTGGGGGGAGAGCCAAAGTGAAAGTGGGGCAAGAAGGATTGTTTAATAATTTTGCAACTCCCCCCTTCCCCCACTCAAGTTCTGTCTGTTTGGAAGTAGCCTCCAGAGTTGTCCTTAGTTAGCTGGGTGGCTCTACTCCTTATTCTTCCTTTGGGACAGTTAGCCAGGGAGCTGGTTTCCTGTCTTGGGTGATCATTTCTTCCCCAGGCCCCCCCCAGTGATTTCTTCCAGGTGGGATCTTAAGATCCCCAGAGACAATGTGGCTGGGGAGAAACATCTCACCTTGAAATTGTTAGGCAGGTAGCTATCTATGACTGGGAGACAAGACTCCTGGCACTTATTTTGGATTCTGCTGCTGACTTCTCGAGTGATGCTTGCGAAATGCCTTGAGCTCTTAGGAGAGAGGCAGTCTCTGTAGGCGGTGATCTCTATTCTAGCAGAGAGCTGAAGGAGAAGGTTAGCAGGAGCCGCACAAGTATCTCTAACCTTAGGGGTATGCGATCATGGGCAGGCAGTTGGTGTGATGGTGGAGTTTCATAGTTGTTGATGGATTGTGTGTTTCCTGAATGCCCAGTGGCTTTCACTAGGTGGAGGCTTAGCTTTAACTTGGAGTAATGGAATCAAATGCTCATCAGTCCTGGACCACAGATAAGGTGATTTAGACTCTATTAAGGTGTTGTTTTGTTTTGTTTTGTTGTTCTGGACCTATGAAAGTCCTGTATCTCCTTTGGGGTCCTACCTATCAGTAATTCCCTGTCCCACAGCCCAATTTCCCAGCAAGAGCCCTGCAAGCTCTTGGAAGTGTGTGGGAGAGTGAGGCTCTTGGGAGTTTTGCTGGGTCCTGAATGAGCTGTCTTGATCCAAACCAGATGGGCCCCTCTCCTTCCACGGCAGCTAAGAAAAGAAAGCTATTACCCTTGTAACTTGAGCATGAAGAGAGAGAAGGTTGGAGTGGGGGTGTCACATGCACATTTTTCTTTCCAAGAGAAGCCTCTCTCCTTTAAGTTTGGGTGTATGTATGTATGCATGCGTGAGCAGGCGGGTCCATGTGGTGAAGTAGTGCAGTTGGTGGATTATTGTACATTTCCTGGATTCACAAAGTCTTTTCACAAGCCAACCTGAGTGAGTTCCTAAAGTAATGAGATTAAATGGCTGATTACCCCCCTCCCCCAAAGTACACACACACACACACACACACACACAACACACACACCCATCTCTGGCCAAGGAGAGGGACTTCTCAACAGGAGCTAGCCAAGTCTAGCAGGAACAGGCAGCCTTGGTCTGAAATTGCTGCTAGTTTGTAGATCTTAGCAGTGGGGGTATTGACCTCTAGTTCTCTTTTGCTCAGGTTTCAAACAAGAGAAAATTCTGGGCTAATAGGATCAGGGTTAATAGGACCAGGGGCTGGAGTCCAAGTAGAAAGTAGAACAACTGATTCTTTCCCAAAGAATTCCTCACAATGGTCCATGAGGAGCTACTCTAGCTGAAGAATTGTGGGGAAGAGAAGGAAGAGGTCTTCTCCTGCTACACCTCCTTCCAGCTTGCTTCCTCTGGCCGTTTCCCTGGGGGAGAGCTCTTCCAGCCTTTTTCTCTGGCCCTCATGTCCCATTCAGGTATGTTCAGGTACGAATGTTTTATATACTCTCAGGCCCACCCAAGCAGCCTTAATCTTTCAGAAATTCACTGTTGACACTGAAATCTGTTGACAAAATTAGCCTGTAGCTACTTAATAGAAAACCGTGAATTGAAAGACCTAGGACTAGAGGAGCAGATGAAATTGCTTTTCTACAATGACTTAAAGTTCAGGAAAAAAATTCAGGCTTTTTTTTTTTTTACAAAAGGAGGCTATGGCTTCTCAGAGGCCTGAGGAATCAGGTTTGTCCAGAGTCCTCTTATTAAAGGCAGCAGATGTTGACGACCTCAAACAAAGGCAAGGGCAAGACCGAGTCAGACCAGCTCCCAAGGGAACCAAAACATCTGGAAAAGGATTAATAATCATTTGGGTTGAACTTAATACTCAAATGGTTCTGTGATCTCATTGATTGATAGGGGAGCTCCCACCCATAGTGCAGCTTGAAACCCAACTGTGCCTGCCCACTGAGTATGACTCCCATCATCCAGAAAGTTTGGGTGCACCTCCTGTGGCAAATTTTGGGGAGTTGTGTTTAAGCATTGTTTTGAGAAACTGCTGCCTTTTGTTTTAAGTCACACTCATTTCTAAATATTCCCCTCCCACCTCCCTTACCAGTGAATCTTCCCATGTTATAAAGATTAAGATAATAATGATAAAAAAAACTGTTCAGCAAAGCCAACCAAACATTAACTGTCAAGTATACATATATAATTCCACATTTCTGTGGTGAAAGGAAGAAGGTGTATTTTCTCATTTGGGCCTAACTTGGGCACTATAATGATTACATTGTATTTTTATTTCTCAGAAGCCTTTCCATTTATCTCATTTTAGTCTTACAAAACCCCTGCCAGGTACATATGGTGAGTGTTCTTATATCCAGGCAGGGAAAGTAAGGTCCAGTGAAATGACTGCCCTATATTACAGAGAAGGACCAGGGCTAGTGCCCGGCCCTGACATTCAGGTTGGGGTTTCTGCATGGCTTACTCTAAAGGTTTCTGGGCAAATATAGGATCACCCTCTGAGGTAGTTCTCCACTGGAATCCAGCAGCCAAGTGGGTTCCAAATTCCCTGCACTGCTGCAATCATTAGGAGCTTCTGGACCCATGTTTGTGGTGATTGTTGACTTTGTGGAAGTTTGGGCTCACTTCCATCCTAAAGAAGTGAAACATAAGGCTTGAGGAAGACTGGATAGACAGCTGTTGGGATCTGAAGTAGGTACAGAGACTAGATATATAGGAATAGGGCAGCTGGGTGGTGCAGTGGCTACAGCACCTGAGCCTGGGATCAGGATGACTCATTTTCCTGTGTTCAAATCTGGCCTCAGACACTTAGTAGCTGTGCTACTCTGGGCAAGTCATTTCACCCTGTTTGCCTCAGTTTCCTCATCTGTAAAGTGAGGTGAAGAAGAAAATGGCAAACCGCTCTAGTGTCTTTGCCAAGAAAACCCCAAGCGGGGTCACAGAGAGTCAGATACAACTGAAGAATAACCGAACTGACATCGAGCCAGGACCTATTCATTGCTCAACTCCCTCTACCAAGGCACGCACCTGCCCTGCAATTTGTAATCTTAAAACTTTGCCCAGAACATTGAGAACTTCCGTGACTTACGCAGAATCACCTAGGGAGTCCATGACAGAGGTGGGATGGTGTGTCAGAGAGGTAGCGTGGACAAAGGCCAGGAAGCTGCCCCTGAAGCCAGCAAGTATCTGGTGTTAACCTGAGGCTTTAAAGGTTGCAAAGTGCTTTAAAAAATCTCTCCTAATCTCACAGTAACTCTTTTAGTCAATCGTCGATAAATATTAAGTGGCCATTAAGTGCCAGCCACAAAGTAGGTAAGGATTGGAAGTATTATTCCATTTAAGTAAATCGGGGCTTAGAGAGATCAGGTGACTTGCCTAAGATCACACCTGTAAGGGTGAGAGGTGGTCGTCTAACCTGGGTCGTTAGTATAACAAACCTGCCTGCAGCTGAAGGCTCTGTCTGTTCCCTTTTGTCTCTGGACAAATGAGTGCCCTCAGCAGAGGTTGGCTGGGGCATCTTTCCTTCCCTTCCCTGTTTGGCTTCTCCTAAAATTTAGTTTTCTGAAGACACACACAGACACAGACGCACACACGCAACCCTTGTGATCCAAATGGACTTGTCCAGTTCCCTGGGGGAGTTTCAGGGCCCTGTTTATTTATTGTGGACTATTTACTGATAATGAAAGGTGGTTGGCTCTTGGACAAAACAAACTGGGCTCACTGGCTATCTGAGGGAAATCGGGTTTTCATCCAATTTCATTCTATTCACTAATAAGTAATTCCATTATGTTTCTTGTTGCTTATTAATAACATGTTATGTACAGTTATAAGTATGCATAATTATAATTTTATCAGTAGAACTTTGATATTACTGGCACAAATTTCTTTTACTGAGCCCAAGGGAGATAGGCAGGCTTTGGGGCCACACAGTTTTCCAACTGGCTTTGGGACTGAGGAGACATGTATCAAGGTCCCTCATGTGCTCCAGATTCTCTGCTTTTTCTTTTTTTTAAAAAAAATTCAATTTGCTTTTCAGTTTTGCATTCTCCTTCCTTCCTCCTCTTCCCCCACCATTCCCAGATCCACTTGTGACAAGGTGCACCCTGAAAAAGAAAAAGACAGGAATATGAATTGTCTTCAGAGAGATGAGGTCAGACCCCCCACCCCCCCAAAAAGCAAAAACAAAAACAGGTTATCATCCTGAGGAGTGCCTAGGCTCAAAGCCAGGATGGCCAAATGTTGCCTTAGATGGAAGGGACTGTAAGAGATTATCTAGCACATGTTTCTGGCTTCAGAAAAGTAAAGTATAATTACCCTTGTTTTACTAGTGAAGTGACTGAGTCTCAGAGAGAGAGAGAGAGAGAGAAGAGAGAAAGAGAGAGAGAGAGAGAGAGAGAGAGAGAGAGAGAGAGAGAGAGAATGTGTGTGTGTGTGTGTGTGTGTGTGTGTGTGTGTGTGTGTGAGAGAGAGAGAGAGAGAGAGAGAGAGAGAGAGAGAGAGAGGGAGGGAGGGAGGGAGAGGTGGGGAACAGGAGGAGAGAGACAAACACACACACATACACATATGGGGAAGGGAGGATTCCAAGTCTCCGACTCATAATACAAAGATTTTTTTTCTAATGCCCCACCCACAGCACATATTCTCTTGGCAGCAAATCCCCAGCATTCCTGAGGATGAGCCCTACATCCTCACTCTGAGAAGGAGCAGTGGGGGTGAGATGATGGTGCTTTGGAGGGGGGGATCACTCCCTGCGCTGGGATTAGTGGAAAAGGTATGACAGTGGGGTGCTCACCTGTGGCTCTAGATAGGGTATCTTCTAAATCATCCAGTCCACCCGCCTGTGGTTGGAGACACTCAGGTGTCGAGAACACAGCCAGAACCCGAACTAATAGCTTCCCACAGGCCTGCCCTGTGGCTTTCTCTGGGGGCCAAAAAGTAAATAGCTAATTGGTCCTGAGGGACCTGCTTCAGTGAGGAAAAATCAACAAGTTATTTATTTTGGGTGACTACAGGGGGTATTTTTTTGTTTGGGGGGGTGGGATGTAGAGAAACAGGAATAGAAAGTGGATTGTGAGAAGTAGGTAGAGACAGTCGCTGGAGTGCATATGTGTGGTGTGGGTGTGGGTGTTTTTGTGTGTCTTTTGTGGAGGGGGACACTTAATAAACTGCTGATGGTCTAAGGTCAGACTCCTAATTTCCTTGCTCTGCCTGCCTGCCTCTCTTTCTGGTTA